TTAACCCATGAGGAAGTCATTATTATCCACATTTAATGGATAAGAGATGGAGGATCAGACAGGGGGCCAGGCAGCCCCATTGCGCAGGCTTCAGGGGAAACTTGTGCCTAGTGGGGAGCTGCACAGGTGACTTATGAGGCATCCTGAAGTACACTCTTCTCTGGGTTTAGGGAGGGGACAACCTTCACCTGCAGAGAAGGGTGGATCCCCCCTCAGCTTGTGGAATGGACGGGGGTGATAGGCCAGGCATAGCATCCCCCCAAGGGTGGACCACACAGAGAGTGGTGCTGGGGAGCCAGGAGGTGCCAGAAGGGAACAGGGCTTGGAGAGAGACCTCTGCCACATATGCCCCTCCCCATGCTGAGCCAGTGCCCTGGGTACAGGCTGCCTGTGTACCCTCATGAGGGTAGTGACAAGCCACAGAGAATGTCATTGAGGATGGGTGTTCCAGCTGCCCACTGCCTTCATTCACTGCTTTGCACTGGCAGATGGGGCTTGGCCCAGGTCTCCCTGATATTCAGGTGGGCTCTGACCCGACGACAAGCCTAGTGCCTGAGCCATGATGCGAGGCAGGAAGGTAAGCCCAAAGCCCTGAGTGGTCCTGAGCCTCAGCTTCCCCATCAGTTAAGTGGGTATAACATTTCCCATTGCAGGTCAGGGCTGGAGGAGGCAGGATCTGGAATTGTTGTACACGTAGGGATGGCTGCATGACTCCGGGCCCAGTCCTGGGTGTAATTGCTCATGGATGTAGCCCTGAGTTAGACAAAAGCAAAACTGAGAAAGAGAGTCAACGCATTAGTCACCACATGCATGCCAGGCCCCTCTGCCTGAGCCCAAGAGGAAGTGCAGGGCCCAGGGCCCGGGAAAGTAGGGGGCCTTGCGGTACTCAACAGCAAGGTCAGGGTGCTAAATGCCAGAGGAAGAACTGGGATAACTCTGGCAGGGGTCTGATTCTGCAAGCTCAGGCAAGTTCGTGAACCTTTCAGATTCATTGTCCATATCAGTACAAGGGGGCCAAACCCACCTTCCATGGCCACTGTGAGGTCAGACAACAGAGCTTGTCAAGCCCCTGGCAAGCGCCTGGCATGTACCCAGCACTGGGTTCTGCCTCCTTTTCCCCTTTTCCTCCCACTGTGCAAACAGGGCAACAGGGCCCAGAAGGGAAGGGGCTTGTCTGAGGTCACACAGCACACAGCAGCTGAGCCATGTCCAGAGCCAGGTGTCCAGCTCAGGGATCCCCTTAGAGCCTTCCTGGGGCTGCCCAGGGCTTCTCCATCCCTGACACCCCCAGACCCAGAGACATGGAGCATGGGCCACAGGTCCTCCTAGCCTGAGCTGGGCCCTGAGCATGCCCCCTGGGCACCAGCTGTCCAGCCCCATCCCTGATCAAGGATTGCTGGGGCGCACAGCACTGCCCTCTGAGAGCACAGAGCACACAAAACCCACTGGGTGGGACGGGACGAGGAGGACCCAGTGGCCGTGTTCCCCCACACTCTCTCTTCCACTTCTCCACTCTTCAGTCCACTAGCTCTGCAGAAGGAGACAGCTGAAAACAGGTGGGGGAAGCTGGATGGGTCTGGGGTTTGGAGACACCTTTGTCTGCCGCATGAGCCTCATCAGAGCACCAGGCCTCATGAGACTTACACACCAGAGCCTGAGGTTGGCCCAACAGGACGTTATGCTTTGCTTCTTCATCTCTGGCTGGGGTTCTGCGGGTTGGGCCCCAGTGCACATGTAGGCGTTTGTGTGATCTTACCTCTCACTCCTGTGCTAACCGGGTCTCCGGGTCTCCGTGCTGGCTCTGCATGTGCTAATGGATCAGGGATTGACAAGGCTGCGTGTCTCTGTGCCGACCCCTCTTGGGCCTTCTCCCCCCAGAGAGGAGACCATCACCACCGTGGTGAAGAGCCCCCGTGGCCGACGACGGTCCCCCAGCAAGTCTCCTTCCCGATCGCCTTCCCGCCGCCCTGCCAGCCCACCACGGCTGGTGGCGTTGACCCCTGACCTGCGGTACTCATCAGGGGCCGGCCAGCCCCCCAGGCCTGAGGTGGAGCTGGGTCAGAAGTGCACGGTCCCAACACTGTATGTGACAGAGGTTGAGGCCCCTTCTCCGGCCCCGCCTGGTGGTCCTGAGCCTCAGCCCAAGTGGGTGGAGATTGAGGAGACCATAGAGGTGCGTGTGAAAAAGACAGGCGCCCAGGGCACAGCTCCAGCCAGAGAGGCATCTGGCAATGTGGCAGGGCTGGTCTTCACGCTGTCTGGCCTGGCACCCAGCGGGGACCCCAACACCAACAATTGCAACAACAAGCTGCTGGCCCAGGAGCCGCAGGCCCAGGGCGGAGCCGAGGGGCCGTGGCCGAGGCCAGGGTCCCCACCGCTGGTCTGCATTGGCGAGCCCTTTGTCTTCTGTGTGGATGCCGGGGGCAATGTGGACTGGACCGCTCCTGGCACAGGCAGCCCCGAGCCAGAGCCCGAGATCCCCTCTGAGCTGCCCCCTCCCTGGGCTGCT